TCCCCGCCGAGCGGCCTCCAGCCTCCCGCGCCGTTGGAGTGACCCCGGCGAGACCAGGCGCTCCGCCCGACCGCGGGAAACCGGGGCGGGGAGAGCCGCCGGGCTTCGCGGAGGCGGCCCGACGCCCCGCGGGGAAGGCGGAGTGGCAGTCACCTGAGGAAGCCTGACAGCTAGCTGTGTCCCGGTCCTGCCGGGGCTCCGCACCCACACGGGTGGTCCAGGCCCGGGAGTCAGCGTCAGCACCAGTGAGGACAGACCCGATCAAGCGAGTGGACATGGCCACCCCGTTCCTACCCGCGGGGGCCACTACGGGCGACAGTGGTGGGGAGCTGAGCTCCGGGGACGACTCCGGTGATATGGAATCCCCCAAGACCCCGGAGTCCGAGGCGTCCCGGAGCCTGGCCGAGCAGTTTGAGAAGGCGGCCGCACACGTCCAAGGCCTGATTCAGATGGCCAGCAGGGAACAGCTCTTGTACCTGTATGCCAGGTACAAGCAGGTAAAAGACGCAAAAACTTACAGAGGTGTGCGGGGCTAATGGTTCAGTGTAACGAAGTGTGTCTGTGTGTGTGTGTGTGTGTGTTTCGGTTTGTTTTTTTGACGCTGGAGAATAGGATCATTCCGGACATGGAGAATCTCTCTGCTATCCTATGAATGATATTTATTTAGCTGGACACCGACAGTATTTCTATTCTCTCATTAGTGACCTTGCATCTGAACCTTTACAAAACGAGGATGATAAAATTTGTCATTTGTTGCCACAGGGACATGTGATAGAAAACAGGGTAATGTTAACAATAAATTTGAGATTTAAGAGAATGTTACTGTATATGAAACATACAATACACTATTACTGTTGCGATTTTTAGAAACGCTAAATATAGTTGACAGTTTGTGGGAGTGCTATAAAAATACTAATTTCTAACAGTATATCTATGTGAAACTGAAACTGCTTCATGGGCTCCATCCAAACCAACATATAGTGAGAGATTGGATGCAAAAGTACAAGTATGCCTGATAGTAAAGAGATTTTTAAAAATGGCAGAGCCATTTTTCTGTGTTGTTTTGTTTTCTTTTTTTTTTTTAGTGTAGAATGTAGTATTTTTTCCATAAAATGTTATTTATATTACCATGTACTAGATTTATTTTCAAATAAGTTAATAAATATTTTAAAGATCTATTATTTTTTTCTTGTGTCTGTGTATTCACACGTGTAGAGGCGTGTGTGTGTGTGTGTGTGTGTGTGTGTGTGTGTGTGTGTGTAGAGGCTGGAGGTTGATGATGAGTTGATATCTTCCTCTATTGCTCTCTACTGTATTCTACTGTATTCACTGAGGCAGGATATCTCACTGAACTCAGTTGCTGATGAAGCTAGTCTGGGTGGTCAGTCGGTCTGGAACCTCTGAATCCTATCAACTGCTGGACTCTGCTACAGATACAAAAGGGGACAGACTCTACCAACTGTAGCACACAGGGCAGGCAGCTTCTGCCTACTCCTAGGACTGGATGAATAGGAACATTATAATACACTATCTTGCTTAAAAAACAAAAGAGTGGGGCCAGGCTGTGGAGGCTGATGCTTTTAATCCCAGCACGTGGGAGGCAGAGGCAGGTGGATCTCCAGATTCAAGGCCAACCTGGTCTACAGAGTGAGTTCCAGGACAGCCATGTCTACACAGAGAACTCTGTTTTGGGGGGAGAAAACAAAACAGAGGTAAGGGTGCTGGAGAGCTAGCCCAGCAGTCAAGAGCATTTGCCTCAGAGATCCCTGTCTCCTGGAATCAGAAATGAGTTGCTATGACTACTTGGCATTTGATTTGGTTCTGGGCCTCTGAACTCTGTCCTTACACTTCCAGGCCAAATGCTTTAACCACTAAGCAATTACCTCCCACATACACCGGCAGTCCAAGATCTAATTTCTTATTTTTTTTTTTTTTTTTTTTTCCGAGACAGGTTTTTCGAGACAGGATTTCTCTGTGTAGCCCTGGCTGTCATGAAACTTACTCTGTAGGCCAGACTGGCCTCAAACTCAAGAGATCCACCTGCCTCTGCCTCCTGAGTGCTGGGATTAAAGGTGTATATGTATACCGCCACCACCTAGCCAAGTTCTAATTTCTAGTCTATATATGTGACAGATAAAATCCACACATACTAAAGTTCTTTGGAGACTTTAATTCTAAGAATTAAAAGAAATCACAGGAATCACGTGACCACAAAGTTTGAGAACTCCTGTTTCAAGTTCTGCTTTCATGGCCAGAGAAGCTCACAAACACAGTATGGAAGCTCTAGCTCAGACAAAGCAAGAGGAGGATGAATCTCTTTTGTTTTTTGACTCTTTAATTTTGATTGTGTGTGCGTGTATAGGTGTGTGGGCACTTGCAAGCCACAGTGTGTATGGAGGTCAGAGGACAATTTTCAGGTCAGTTTTTTCCCTCCACCATGGGTTCCAGAGATTAAATTCAGGTTGTCGAGCCTTCCTGGCAAGTGCTTTTACACACTGAACCATCTTGCTGGTTGCCCTAACCCTCCTCACCTCTTTAAACATTTCTGTATGAGTGGGCATGCCTGGTGCCTGCCAAGGCTGGAAGAGGTCATCAGATCTACTGGAACTGGAGTTACAGGCAGGTGAAAGCTGCCATGTGTGTCCTGGGGACTGAACCCAGATCTTTTGCAAGAGTGGCAGGTACTCTTAACTACTGGGCTAGTTCTCCAGCACCTCCGCCCCTTTGTTTTAAAGCAAAATATTTTATTATAATTTTCATATACATCCAGTCCTAGGAGCTAGGCAGAAGTTGCATGGCCCTGGGTTTGTATAGTTTGTCCCCTTTGTAAAACTAAAGCCCAGATTCTCTGAAACATGTAACATAGATGATACAAACAGGCCTGGCTTAAATCCTGACAACTAATCAGGGTTGGCCAATGTGTGAGTTGAGACCACTCTTGAGTCTCTGCATCCTCAGGGATAGGGTGGGTTTGCAATGGCCTGCCTCACAGGATTGGAGATTATTCAAGAAACACTTCTTCTCAGTTGAATTATAGTAGGGCTGCTCCTATAGAAGTATGCTTTTTAGTAATAGCCAGAGGACTATGTGATCAATTGTTAAGGGAGTGATTGAGGTGATAACTCTTTCTTTTTCAGATTAATTTTTATTTTTGTGTGTGGGTGCCCTTGGAGGACAGAAAAGAGTATTAGATTTTCCGGAGCTGGTGGTATTCAGAGGCAGTTGTGAGCTGCCTGTTATGGGTGCTGGGAACTGAGCTCAGGTTCTTCAGAAGAGCAGCAAGCTTCTCTTAGCTCCTGAGCCATCTCTCCAACCCCATGAGTTGATAATATTTATGAACTCATAGATAGATGAAATGGTTGTAAGCTGAAAGGTTTTTTAGGACTTGGAGCAAGACGGGAATTATGTGTGGCAGTTTGAAAAGCCGAGAGAAAAGAAGACATTTCAGGTGATGGAATAGTAGGAACAAAACTCAGAACTAAAAATCTGCAAGGCCACAGTAGGTGGACCACTGAGCTTAGGGGAAGGGTGCAGTTTGGTCTTAGGAAAATTTGAATATGGTAAGAGGGAGATGTGGGAAGGTCTCTCAGAAGCAGACAAGTGCTTTGGGTTTTGAGTTTAGAACAGTGTTCTAGAAGCTTTGTTCTAGTGAACAATCCTTGACCCAGAACATTCTAATGCAGTGCAGAAACTGCAAATGTCGTAAGAGATGTATAGAGTGAGTGGGTGAAGGGTTCACAATAGAGGTTCTTTCTGGCGGTGGCAATCAAGAGCTGAATTCTGTTTCTGTATGGATTTCAGTTTTGCATAGTTAGAATGAAAACAGTCTATAATTTAGCTACAGATGTCATTTGAGCCTTAAAACTATAGAGCCAGATGTGGGGGTGTACACCTATAACCCCAGCCTTGAGAGGTAGAAGTAGGGGGTTTAAGAGTTAAGACAGCCCGAGCTACATGAGACCCCGGATCAAAACAGCAACAAAAGTGTTGACCACATAGATAACGTGATTGTTGAGACTCTGAGACCCACTGCCCAGCTTTTGACACCTAAATTTATTTAGTGTGGTGCTTTTGTTTTTATGTATTTATTTAGGGTTTTCTTTTTGGTGATAAATTGTGTAAACTTGCCTGAGGATCAGAGGACAGAGCCAGCCACTAGCTTAGACATAGAGGTCAGGCAGTGATGGCGCACACCCTTAATCCCAGGAGGTAAAATGGCAGGGCAGAGAAAGGTACATAAGGCGTGAGGAAACAGGGACTCATTCTCTTTAGGCCGAGGATTTTGTAGAGGTAAGAACTAGTGCCTGGCTGTTCTGCTTCTCTGATCCTCAGGCAAGTTTATTAGGGTACACAATATATCACCACATTTATTTTATTTATTTACTTATTTTTTTGAGACAGGGCTTCACTGTGTAGCCCTGGCTGTCCTGGAACTCACTTTGTAGAATAGGCTGGCCTCGAACTCAGAGATATGCCTGCCTCTGCCCCCTGAGTGCCAGGATTAAAGGCGTGAACCACCACCGACCAGCATAAAATTCTATTTTAATGGCAGTAAAGATTATACTTTTATTTGTAACTTGTTGTATAAATTAGTCTGCTAGTTTCGAAACGCAGCTATTTGCCACCCACTCCCCCCCCCATGTTACAGTATTACTTAGCAGTTATTTTATATAGAAAGCTGAGGCTGCTTATTTGGTGTTTTCATTTAATTAGTTAATTTAGAGAGTCTCACTGTGTCCTGCCTGGCCTGGAGGACATTGTGTAGACTAGGAGGGCCCTGAACTCAGAAAGCT